GATACTTACATTTAACACACAAACAGTGACTAATCTTGCTGATGTAATTCAATGGTTTGGGTGTCAGTTTGGATGTTGCTCATTTCGAAATCAAAGTCTTCATCTTTTAGTCAAACATATCTATATGCAACTGCACATTTGTATTTGCAATTTGCCTATTCTCAACTGAAATTGTTAAGTTTAAGTATAATTACCCCAAAACATCTAATACAATGTTAGTGCTGCAACTATTGTTGTCATTGTTCAATAATCGATTGGTCTATGAAATGTAAGAACATTTTTTTACAGTCCGAGGTGACTTTAAATGTCATTCCAAAACCCAAAGACATCCCAAAACACCAAGTCTGTCTGAACATTGGGAAGCATGTCTTATTTGCCGTTGTTCTCATTATAACCATCAAGGTGGGGTAGAAGCACAGACAATAAAGTCCACTCTACTGTGAGTGAAAGGTAGAACAGAATTGTCCCTGGTGTACAAAGGCTCCTTGCAGGGACCCAACCCTAATGCAAGCACTTTAGAGTATTTTCCAGCCCTTATATTTGTGACTTAAAAAGTACTACTACATAACCCAAGTGACTGAAAGTGTACTTTTAAACACAGCCTGACACTATGTTTTCACTTTTCCCCCACAGTTTAGAATAAACATAATCCCCTGCATCACAGTCCTTGTTGCTGCTACTGGTTAACTCACACTTTTGTCCTGGGGAGTATGTAGACCAAACAGAACGAGTCAGTCAAGGATCCCTCAACAGCTTCCCATCACTGAACACTGCCAAATGTATTTGATGGGGCCGAGCTGAAGGTAACGCTACTGAGGAGAGAACCCTGATCTGTGGAGTGGTGGGTATCTGGGCGCCTCCATCAATGTGCTTACCTTAGGGGGCGGGGCCAGTGTGAAATATTTAGGAGGAGCTACTGGCATGGAGTATATTCATAGGTATGTTTTCATTAGTGTACATTAACCTGAAAATAAGAATTGTTGTGTTCTCACTACCTTAGAATGAGAGATTGTCATGATCTGTGTTTGCACATTTCATGACAAAAGTTTACACACCCTGTACGTCTGTTTTAGAGTGTGTATGGTTAATAGGATGAGAGGATGCAAAGGATTTCCATTTAAGTACAGTGGAAAGAAGCTTGCCGCTAATGAAAAGAAGTATTTATTAGGCTGCCAATCTGCCCTTCAGCCAAACTCCCTCGAGGGGCTTGTACCCAGCAGATAGCGAGCATATCTGAACCAGGGTCAACCATTTGTGAGGCATTTCCACGATGCTTGTGAAAACGATAAAAGTGGCTTGAAGTCACATTGTGGTTCACAGAGGAGAGGAAAATAAGGCTTTAGGATTCGCACAATGCCGTTCATTTTTCCTTATCTTCTCAGGGATGCCTGTGGCCACAGTGGTGCCCCAGCAAGTGTTCTCCACTCCCACACCCCATTACAAACACAGCCCCGACACACACGCTCACACACACACACACACACACACACACACAAGAATGCACCATGAGGGAACACCAGCTGTTGCAGTGACCGATACGGGGAACGCCCAAAATACTTCTATCAACAAAATCTGGCATGCACGTTCTCTCTATGTCTCTCTCTCTCTCTCTCTCTCTCTCTCTCTCTTTCATACACCTACGATCCACATGGTCAGGCTCTTTACTCTCCATTTGAAGATGCCTTCCTGCCAGTTTAGGGGTTAAGTTAATACATTACATTGAAATCATACCAGACTCATCCAACACAGTCATTCATTAACAAGACAAGAGCTTATCAGAAACTCAGCAGGTCACCACATCCCTTACCAGTCATTTCTTTCCCATCTTTCCTGACAATACACCACCCAGCTGACTAAACGCCTGCGGGGCAAAAGTGCTAAAAATACATCTAACATCCTACTACAGTATGTGACACCTGGGATGAATAAATGAGAAAGCCTGCTGTGGTGGACTCACTCGGCGTCTGATTTCAAAAGCATTAACACTGCTCTCGCTTTATTGTTCCCACTCATTTCCAGTTCTCACGCTGTTGAAAGGCAAACTACTTAACCTACAGTGTGCCCGACACTTGACACCTATAAATCATAACACCCCGTCCTTGCCGCATACGTGCCCAGCAGTCTTACTGCCATGAGTGATAGAACGAGCTGGATTCTATGTACGTTTCAGCTGCAGAGCATCGCTTTTCAATGACCAGCTGCAGCTGAAGTGGCCTTCGACCCATTCCTCTGTGTGTGTCTGAGAGGTTTGAGGCCCGGATGGTAACCTAACCACTTCCTGTATGCCACCTAATGAGAATAATCACCCCACAGTTTGATTTCAAAAGCTCTGCATGCAGAAATGGCAACAGTCCTCCGATATTGTTTGGGATTTTGAGGCAGAAAATCTCCCGTTATATGGAGCTCAGAAACTCAAAGAGGTTGTCAGACATGGCAAATACATGACTAATATGTCAATGGATATTACTATCAGTCCAATAATTACACTGTATGAATGTAAAAAGAAATATATAGCTTTGTACTTTTCCATCGTCGCCACAGATGGTACAATCAATTCAAATGTAATAATTTAATAGTTTAATCTTCTATCTATCTTTCATTATCTGATTTTATTTTCCAGCTCTAAAAGTTATATTTACTATTTATTTTTTCCAAAGCAACATTTCCTATTTTCCTGAGCACATTTGTCAATTTCCAGAATGCTATATGATAATGAAATTTGAGGTGTGTGTGTGTGCGTGCGTGTGTGTGTGTGTGTGTGTGTGTGTGTGTGTGTGTAATGTTAAATCAGGTTTAGTATACTGCATACTACTGTAGCATCACTGTGTTTGTTGACCGTAGCTTTCCAGCTAAAATGCTTTAGCTACTGTTGCACAAGTTTATACAGTGATGGTAAAGCAGCGAGCACAGTACACCGGTTCTATGAAGACAGAAAGCTGCAGTTTATCAACTGATTCTGATTTCTTTTTATATTCCTTTTAAATGTTTAAAAAGGTCCAGTGGGTAGTCAGTTTGATATATATTAACCATAGATATCTTTTCATTAGTGTATAATCAAGAATCATTGTATTTTTGTTATCTTAGAATGAGCTGGTTTTATCTACAGAGGGAGTGGTTCCTCTTCCACAGAGGCCTCCATGTTGAACTGCCAAGTTTCTACAGTAGCCCAGAACAGACAAACAAAACACTGGCTCTAGACGGACCCATTCTTTTGCGAGTTTCATAACCACCGTAATTTCTCCTACATGCTGCACAATTAATCTCAATATTATCGCAGAAGCTACAGTGTTTTGATGAATGTAAACTGTGTGACAAACAGCATTATCATGAAGTAGTGCTGCAGAGATGCCCTGGCCTAAAAATCTTGTTCTTCAGATGTAAGAAAAACATGTTCTTTGGTACAGAACCCCCAACAAATGTCACATCATCATTTAATTGTTTTGTTTTTTTCAGTGAAAATTTAAAAATTGTGATGCAAAAATGATCATTCCCACTAATTGTGAATCATATCGCAATATCTGTCAAAGCATATTATGCAGCCCTACTACAGGTTGGGTTGAGGCAAGCGGCTTCAGTTTGCTGCAACCTGTAACTTTACAGTTAGATGCCACTAAATACTACACACTGGCCCTTTTACTATGTAAGCCTATTTAGTTGAATCATTTTGGGGCTCCACTGTTATCTTACTTCACAAGACAACGTGTCAAACTGCACTGAAGTCTGGAACAATCTAAGTGTTCTACACGCTGCAGTCTCTGATAATGCCAATAATCACCACGCACACTTTCATTCATCCCCCACAGTCAAGTGTGGGTAATGTGATATCGTGCTTCTGGAACAGACCCTCAGCAAGCAGATGGTCAGCTATTCAAAAATGTCTGGATGCTGGGACCCCATGCAAAACCACAGAAAAGAGGAGATTGAGGTTCAAAGCTGGGCTTTACAGCCGCAAGGATCTTTACAAAGTTTGTATATAAAATGTGCTCTCAAACATTATTTGCACAGAAATCTTCTTCTCCACAGCAGCAACTGCTCCCCAGTAAGACCAGGAGAATTCCTGAATGTTTAGAAGGAAAATGATATGTGGAGAGGCTTTGATTCTGATCTATTTTCTGAGCTGTTTCTTGTGTTCAAGACAAAATCCAACAGCTGTTATAGAAGAGGGGAACCAGCTGCCAAACTAAACTCTATTTTCCCTTTTTTAGCCCTTTCAACTAAATCATGAACACACCCCACACTGAAGAGCTTTCTCACTTTAGATCCAGCAGGCAGATACCCTGCAGGCTCATCAGGTGCAACACACAGGCCGAAGGGGGAAAGCCAAGCCTCACCTTGTCTCCGAACAGCTGAAACCACAGCACACGCTTGCCTTGAAAAGTACAGCGAATAAAGGACGAGGGCCAACTCCATCAGTTTCTTCAGGTCTGACCAGAAAGCCGTTTTCATTCCTCCTCATGTTTCCCCACAAGCAGCATACCCAAACAGTGCCCGTCATCAATAATCGCACACCTGAAAGCCGCTGAACTCTTGTCAAGTTCAATGAACAATGTCACAGCGGATCATTACTGCAGTCTGAATGAGGCAATGCACAGACAGCTGTGTGCATACGTCCAGCAGGATGGCAGCAGGTGAACAAGGCTCACACACATTCCTACATCAGCTGACAAAAAGCCCAGAGCTCCCCGTGGTCCACAGCTACTGTAGAGAGTGTGTGTGAGTGTGTGTGAGTGTGTGTGTGTGTGTGTGTGTGTGTGGGGGAAAAAGGGTCAAAAAGATTACAATAACTTCGAGGTGTGGCACTGGTGAAGCTTTTTGGATGTACCCACCCATTTCACACTACTAAAACAGTTTATGATGCTTATGTGAATTATTAATGTTCACCATGCATTACACCAGCAAGAGTCGAGCTGACCTGGCTAATATTAGGGTTATGTCTATAACGAGTACAACTGATGGTCCTTTTATTCCTTTCCCCCTCTATCTGAATCAATGAAACTTACCTGTAGGGTGGGTGAACAGAGTGGCTCAGCCGTCCATGGTGCTGAGTGGAACAGATCCACGCTAACCAGCAGAGAGTGTCTGATGAGGTGCAGCTCCACTTTACGGTAGTTTAGCCTCAAAAACAGCCGCAATTTGGGGAAAGTGACCTTTGTAAAAGTAGAACCAACGTCCGAGTCCAGAAAGTGTGTGTGAGTGTGTGTGTGTGTGTGTGTGTGTTCCTCTCAGGACCTGAGGCAGTCTGTTGTTTGGCCGCCGACAGCTCTCAGGACAGCAGCTCTCCGCGGTGAGACGCTCCAGCAGCAGGCAGAGCGGCGGACAGCTGATCTGAGACAAGAGACACGGAGTCAGACAGGGTGGGACAGGAAGTGTCAGGGGGTCGCCTTCAAAATAAAGGCCCCGAAACCAGCAGGAACAGTTTAGAGTAGTTAAATGCTGTTCTTAAGTTAACCTTTTTCCTTAAGGGACAATTTTTCTATCATTTAGTAAACTGAAGACACTTGACTAAGTAACATAATTTATGGATATTTCATATTATATTAAAAATTGTACAGTGAACCCAAAAAGTGAACTTTGTGTTTGTTTAAAGATTAAGATTATTTCTTTTTAGAGACCTTTGTATACAATTCCCTGTCTGTGTTATATATATATATATATATATATATATTTTTAAACTGTTATACAGACTCATAAAGCTTATTTTTTGACAATTTCAGTGTTTTCTTGTCCCTGACGCTTGGGCATTGTTTTATCAGACAATTTACTTTACATTTACATTTCTTCACAGAAGTTAACAAAATATGCCTACTCTGTACATTTTTTAATTGTGTTATATGTTTTCTTACACCCCTTTAAATGAATCAGTGTAAAACCAGATCATTTCATTTAACTCAAAAATTGTTGAAACTGATTAGATCAAAATTCAACAAATAGCTAATTTTGTAATTTAAAAAAACCTTCTTGAACAAGTAGGTTTAGTCATTTTAAGTGATACTGACTTAATATTGTAATTATTTTTTGTACTTTGAAAACAAAATACCTAGTTAAAAGTTAATCAGGACAAAGTCTTGATTAAAGGTCAGTTTTACAAAACTAAGTTACAGTCACTTAAAATTACTCAACCTAAAAAACTGTTTGTGTTACTTAAGAATTTTGATGTTATCACTTTCAAACATTTAAATGTCAAAACAGTGAAATGAACTTATCTGGTTTTTCAGTAAAAAAGGCCTTGAGACCCCCATGAAGATTTGTCGGCCCCTAGTGGGGGTCTGACCCATTTAGGTTAATTTACTTAAGCAATTTATTTTTATGCTACTTTATACTTTTACTTCAATACATGATTTTTTTTAATCAATACTGATTAAATTTGAAGCTGATCCGATAAATTCCCTAGGAAGAGTTCGTTCAAATACAACATGTGCAAATCGCCGAAAATGAACATGGAATTCAAAATGGCTGACAAAATGGCGTACCAATTTTGTACAGTTGATCGTACGTGTCTTGGGGGTTGATTCTGGGGGGCGTGGCTAATCCATATTGCGACGCCCAACTACAGGACCAAGACAATAGGTTAGCCTTCGCCACGACTGAATTTTGTGCAAAGTTTCATGAGTTTTCGGGCATGTTTAGCCTCCCAAAACGTGTTCAAATGTTAACAGAAAGGCAGATTTTCACTGTATTGCCATGGCAACATGGTTCCACGAAAATTCTCAAAATTCACAAGATGTAATCGTCATCATCCTAAGGGACTGCTGACAGAATTTCAGCTGGGTCTGTTCAATCTGCTGGAAGATATACATAAAAGTTTAAACAGGACATTTCCTTTCATCACTAGGTGGCGCTCTCACTATTACTGAATATTATCACATGTATTCAGGGTGGGAATCTTATCTTATTCTCTTATCATTAGTCCCACCTTTACCAGCTGCAACATTAAAGCGTATGCCTGCACAGTAATGCATCATTTATCCAATCATGTAATATGTATTATTCTGACATAGGCCATTCTGCATAATGAGTATTTTCACTTTTGGTACTTTGGCCTACATATCGTTTGATGCTGATATAAGTACTTTTACTTTAACATTCTGAATGAGTATTTCTATGATGTGGTATTGTTACTTTTACTTAGCTCATAGTCTACCCAGAAAACTTTTAAAAAGAATAACCAAACACATGTTAAATAGCCTACAGAGGAGTTTAAAAGGTCCAGAAATATTGAATGTAAAATACTAAAAAGTTCAACAGCTGATTTTCATTGAACGCTGATTTTCAATGAGTATGAAAAAAAAAATTAATGAATTCTTATCCTCACTTCCCGCTCTAATATAATAGTTTTATTTTGAAAATCCTCCTCGGACACGTGGCTCTGCCTCTGCTGGATTGACACTGGGCTGCAACTGGGACCGGTTCAGACAGTGAGCTTCTGTGGCTTCACTGTAGAAACATGAACCTAATTAAAACGTACTGGTTCTGTTCACACTGTAAATGCCATTCCTCACGAACAACACACAGTGAAACATCTGTACATGCTGACAGGACAAACAGTGGGTATGGTCAGTTGCTATGTTTTTCCCACCCAGTATGGGTGGTGGGCTATGTTTTGGTCAGTTGGTTACTGACTGACATTTTGTTCTGTTGTGGCAAACAGGGTTGATTTGAATCTCTAACTGCAGTTTTGACAATGCTTCCAGATTAAAATGAACAATGATTTATAGAGTCGGGACTCTCCTCCTTGTCCAGGCCAGAATGAGGTGTGACTGCCCTCTGCTGGTCCATGGTGTATGTCTAGGTAAAAACTCAGACTGTTCAGGCTCATAGAGATGCTTTATGAAAGGGTCAAAGCATTCAGTTGTTAGTAATACAGAAATAAATTAAAATTCACAAAAGCAGTATTCACTATTAGAACTATTTTACACTTAGTGGCCACTTTATTAGGTACATCTGTACAATGCAATCCAATGCACCTGTCTTTTATGATGCTTATTATGTCATAGAGGTGTTAATTAAATAATATGTTTTGGTGGATTCGTTGTACTGCATTATATTAAGTATACCCAGTACAACACCTCTAACTACGACCGCAGTCATAAACTTATAATTTCAAACAAAAACATTGTAAACTTTGTAAAGGTAATCTTGCTGAGCTGTTATATTGAATCACAATATATTATACAAGTGTACATAATAAAGTGACCACTGTGTGTATAACCATTGACACTTCTGCCAAAAGAAATAAAACCGTAGTTTATACAATCCATATCTATTAAAAAAAAAAGACAATGCCGAGTCTCACAAATCTAAAACAATCCAACCTTTCTGTTCAAACCAGAGTTTCTAAGTAAATCATAGCTGCTTATGATCTTTGCTTTAATCATTTATTTGTTGGCCCTCTCGTACAACCTTCTTTCATTAACTTTGCAGCTCAAAAAACATACATAACTACACATAACAACTACAACAACAACTTTTTCACTACATGACGTCTTATAATTTTATGAGAATTGCTTATGAACATGATTTTGAACCAATAACAGGTTTCAGAAGTCAGCAACACATTACTTCTGTCTCAGAGACCTCGGCTGTGGTCAGATACAATGGATTATCACATCTGTAACTGGTGCTGAAAGTACTTTTTATGTAGCAGCTGCTTCTCCCAAATCCCAAATAAGTCTATTAGGATTTCTGATGTTGAGTAAGTAAGTAATGCTGCTATGTGGGATAACGTGCTGTACAGTTCTCTGACTGTAAATGACTCTTTGGCAAACAAAAGAAATATAAACATAATGGTATTTATTCTTATTTGGTGTAATAATAGTACTCTGTGGTCATTTCCTTGTTTTGTCAGTTTGATGAAATATGCTGACCAGTCTGTGGCAAAAGGAAACATTACAGAGATTTCAATACTTTTCTACATATTGGGTTTAATAAAGGTCAGAAGAAGAGAGAAAAAAATACAAGTATTTGTTGAAGCAATCTGTTCTGATCGGTTCTTACTAAACAAATCTGACATGAATATGCTCAGTAGCACACTGAGGTTGTCTGAGGGGCAGGGCCAAAAACATAAGTACCAGTACCAGTTTGCAGAAAGCTGTGATGCATTTACGGTGCAGCTGCTCAGTCAGGGTTAGAATTTGCACCCACAGAGGGCACTATGACATAGGGGCATCTACGAGGGCACTTTTGCTGCGTTTTTTCAAACATGGGGGCAGGGGCTGATTTATACGGGCGAGATAAAAAAAAAAAAAAAATGCCAGGCCACACCAGCTGCCACTCCAATTTGGTGTCAAATGCTGTCAAATATAACACATTCATTTAGATTGATTAAAAAAAAAAAAAAAACTCAGAAATGAACAATTCTAATTGAATGATCCCTTATGGCCAGCGTTTACACTCAGTGATGGGTTCAAGTTCAATGAGAAAAGGCATATAGCTATAAAAATGTCTGAAGATTTGGATATAAAACAATTTATTGATTTCTAATGCCACATTTAGATATTTCCATCCAATGGTTTCCTAGGGCAGGCTGTGAGGAGGGAGCGACGGGGGCGTTTCCTTGCGCCTGCTCTCACCTTTGCTGCCTCAGATCTCACCTGTTAGGTTGAAACTCCAGGACTGTAACAGCGTCTTACGACCAAGAGCCCGACTGGAAATCAAAACAGCACAGCGACATGGAGTCTACAGTAAAGGATTCCCCCGTCAGAGCGGGTTTTCACAGACTGGAGGTCCAGAAAACGACGTGGGACGTCCCGGAGAGATACACGGCGCTGCGGCCGGTCGGCTCCGGAGCTTACGGGACAGTGTGGTGAGTTTACCCGGGGAGGGCGCGCACGAATTCAAGGATACTGACTACGGAAAGCGTGTCAGGGTTTGTGCCAGTCATTCTGAATTTAGTATGGCAAAGTGCAAAGATTATTATTATAATCCTATAATACTGTAATCCTGCATATGAAGTCTGTAATTAAAACTGTCATAAGATACTGGACATAGAAACCTTTCAGCCTACTAATCCAAACTAGCCCTCATAGGAACATTCCAAGGTTTTATGTTAAATAATAGAGCACATTAAGGCTTTCAGATTACAATGAGCCACCTCCAACATATATTATTACTAAAGTAAGGTATGGTAAACATGATCAGCTGTATGATAAGATACCGATGCTGTTCTGTAAAAGGTCAGAGGTGCTTGCCTTTGTTGTTCACTATCAGTATTTAAGGGCATGGCATCACTAATGATTTTCTATAGGCTGTCTACATTTATGTAGGCCTTAAGTCTGCATTCCACTGCAGGCAGTCCAAGAGGCCTAAATTACTCTGCATCTGCTAACAGAAGCACTATTGTCCGCCTGGGGCGAGTCAGCAAGTCAATGCAGGTCCTCCGATAGACAAGAATCTCCTCCACCAACAGAGAAACCCGGCCTACAGGAATCCAAGATATCTCACACAAAGTTCTATCTAATGATAAGCTACTGACAGACGAGGTCTACTGATATTATCCACTTTGGTCAATATGTACCAGAGGGGACATCAGCCCTGGATAGTTGACTAATTTGAATGTTTTATTTCAGACCTTAGTCCTGAATAGGTTTCTCACAACACCTCTAAGATTTGTTCATCCTATAAACCAAAACAGAAACTACATAAGCCAGATTTGAAATAGCCAATGAATTTCCCCATTAGCACCATTAAAGCCCAACATTGCATTAAAGATACTACACAGGTTTCAAAATGGTGGGTACAATTTTAAATTGTAAACAGAAGCCAGAAGATAACTTAATCCTAAAGTGACACTTGCATTGTGTACAATATGCCACCCAAGGAAGACAGCCATCAGAAATAAACAGAAACAATAATCACCAACATTTCGATGCATCATTTGTCATCTGTCAAAAAAAAACTGCATTCTTGGTTTTTTAGTTTTATGTGATGCTAGAATGAATATCTTTGGGTTGAAAATGTCACTTTGGGCTATTGGAGTGGGCATTTTGCACAAAGGGGGAGTCCGCATCTTTCTAGTGATTCAAAAATCCTAAACCCTTCCCCGTGGCTGAAGGCTCAGCTTACCCATTGTACCCCACCACAAAAAAACAGGGAAACCTGATGTGTGGAAATAGTATAGATTCCAAAATAAAGAACAGGGAGAGGAGATGCCTATCTGTGATTCAATAAATATGTGTTTCATATGGTATATTCAGGATATTTTTATGATTGTGATAATATTGTGTATCACAACTATTTTGGCCAAGATAATCATCAATAAATCCTAATTAATCAAGACATATTCTATAGCGTGATCAGTTATGACAGTAGTCTTTATTTTCATATCATTCATATTCCTTTCATGAGCGCACTGACTGTGTTTTATTCCCACTTAGCTTCGCCATTGACCAGAAGACCAAGGAGAAGGTGGCCATCAAGAAGCTGTATCGTCCTTTCCAGTCCCTCATCCACACCAAACGGGCCTACAGGGAACTCAGGCTGCTCCGCCACATACAGCACGAAAATGTAAGAACTCTGCAAAGCGTGGACATTTGGAGGGAAGTTTACGACACAACAACTTAATTGATACAATATGATCCAGTGCAGCCTGGTTATGTTATGTTCAGACCCCCTGAGTTCTAATATCCTGAGTATTTGTTCAGTCCTTATTCAACCATCATCAGTCTCAAGACGGGATGATTCTGAGGTAAAGCAAACGTTGTTGACCATTCAACAAGAGCCCATAATCTCATCAACGCTCCCCGACAAGCTGGGAGTGTTGTGTATTGTTGGAACCCTCATGGTTCAGTATTTTCCATGAAAACCTTGAGGAACTACAAACGCTTACATAACCGCCTTTGACGGAGCTGGACAATGATGTCAGTACAGGATGCATGACTGCTTTAGAAAGGAGCTCTGGGAGTGCAGAAACACCACAGCAATGACTGTATGAGAGTAGCTTAAAGATGGAGACTGTGATACCTAAGAAACCGAGTTACAGCAGCCACAGAAACCTCAGCGCTGTAAACATAGATGGTTGTTGCTAACTCTGCATTGCGTATGGCCTCATGACTCCCCATAGATTTGTGTGTAAGCAGACATATTGAATGTTATAACGTGTTCTCTATGTTTTCCCTTAAAGGTGATCTGCCTGCTTGATGTCTTCACACCTGACTCCACACTGGAAAAATTCCAAACCTTGTGAGTTGGGAGTTAGAAAGCGCATTCCTCTGCTAGTTGTCACAGCTTGTTGAGAACCAGTGTGCGTGTGCGTGCATGTATGAAGAGTTCAAGCAACGATGTGTGAGAGTAAGCTGTTCATGGTTGTTTTGGTCCGTTTGTGCAGTTGGATTTCCTCACCATAGCAATAAGCTCTTGACATCAGTCTATCTTGGCCTCTACTTTATGTCCCTTACCAGTTTGATATGTACCTTCTCTCTCTCTCTTCTTCTCTCTATAGTTATATGGTGATGCCATTTGTAGCCCAGGATCTGGGCCACATTATGAAGAAGCGGAGATTAACTGATCGCATCATCATATACCTGTTCTACCAGCTTCTAAGGGGACTCAAGGTAAGTTTATTTATTTTGTTATTCACTTGCTATATTACACATGCAGTACTGTGAATACTAAGACACATCATAAAACCAATGTACAATATAGATAAACCTATAAAAAGGCTACATTTTCTCTTCAAAATTTAAGTTTAATATATCTATTATGTTATTTGGGCTTTCAGGTGGCTTTACTCTCATCCTACATATTTAACATGGATAAATAGGTGGTAGGATGATGGTTAAGGGAGAATAAACTACTGTAAGAAACAAAATGTACGTAAATGCTGCTGTGACAAGGGAATTTCCCCGTTGTGGGATTAATAAAGTAATACAAACAAACAAACAAAACCATAGCAATATGCATAACATCATCTTACCTGAGGAAGAGCAGTATTTAGGCTGGTTGACAGCACATGAGGAACGGAGTGTCCCTATCCCACTGAGAGTGTGTGATACTCTAAATTAGGACCCATGGCAAACATGAACTCAGTAAATAGTTCCATCTATCAAAACTGCATAGGCAGAACTTAAACCAATGATATGAAGTCATTAGGAACATTGACACTGAAGCACCTGTGATATATGACAGAAAGTGTACCTCTGGGTCTGCAGGAACTCCAGCCGGTAGGGTGAGGGACTTATGGTGGCTTTAGGGCTGGCTACCTTCTGCCTGAGGCTCGTGTGTGGACTAATAGTTCGCTGTTGACCAGTGGTTAGTTTTAAATCGCCCTCTGTCAATTAAATTAACTGCTCTGTATTTAAGTGATTTAAATACATAAATCAGTACATTTATTTTAAACACAGAGGAAAGACGATCATTACTTTGGTGCCAAACTGCAGGATGCATTTAATATCAAAAGGAAATACAAGGGAGCTACTTTTATCTCATTCTGCTCTCCCTTAAGTACCAAAGCACATCAAGTCTAAGGCTTTCAGTCTAGGAACTGATAAATGCCATTCACAGCCAGAATGTGTGATGTGAATAAAGACTGCTCTACCCTTATTCATGCCTTTCCACTCAGTGCTAGTCAATGTGTAACCAAGAGTGCTCAGTGGAAACGAAAGAGGAAGCACGTTTTAAACTGGTAAACAAGACTAACTTCTCCTAAATGCCCTTTTGTCTTTGAATTAAGCGGCAAACGTCTTTGATCCCACCTTATCTACACACATACGCGTCCTTGAAGCAATCTTCTGTGCCGAGAGTCGGCTTTTGCTCGGAGGGTTGGAAAACACACAAAACATAGCCCTCACAATGGGCTGTGGGTGCAGACTGTGATAATGTCCACACCATGCCATTCAGAGAGCCAGAAGCGTGTGTGTGCATACTCTGTTCAACTATCTATGTATGGTGTTTTACACTGACTGAATCTATGTCCCTCTTCTTCACAGTATATTCATTCTGCAGGGATCATTCATCGGGTTGGTATTATAACCTTTTATTACACTGCTTACTGTAGTCTTAGTGTGTCACTCATAATCAGTGTGTGTTAACTTGTACGCTTAAAGGAATTCTGGGAAATAACACTCACTCTGTTTCTTGCTGAGAGTCAAGTCCCGACAGAATCAACTTGCTCGACGTGCAGGTCCACACAGTATCGATAAGGAGGTTGAATAATAACTCACTGTAATGTGATCACTATTTTCAGTAAGAATAGAATTTATTTCTCCTTTCAAAAGTAATATTTCTTTACTTATTACTCCCTGCCAACAGTAATTAGTTACAGTATTAGTTATATTAATTTTCTGACACTCCTCACAGAAGTACTAATTTTTAATAATAATTGTCTTCCCCAAAATTCTGACACTCAACAATTAAAATCCAGTTTTGTTTGTCAAAATCAAAGTAATGGAGTATTTCCACTGCTGAATGTCATCATTTCATCTTCCAAACTATCTTCCCCCACGATTACAAAAATTAATCCAAGGATGTGATTGGATTGTTGGATTTCAAACCAGTAGGGGGTATAATTCATTATTTTGGAGAGTGGTAACTAATGTTACTGAAATGTATTAGAAATTAGTCACACTAGTTACTGGGGAAAGTAATATTACTACTAGTAACACCTTACTGCCCAACAAGGTAATGATTTATATATTTATACTGACTTTAAACTGAGAAAAGTTGGATTTTAGGCGTAAAAGCATCGATAGGCAATCATGTACATTGTAGAGGATAAAATAAAATTCCCTATTGCAAATCCCAGTGAAATATGGTCCAAATGTTTTCTTAAAGTTCAATCCGCATCTTCAAATTTTCATGACTCAGGAAACACAGGAGCCAAAGTGCAGACAGAACACACAAGAACGTAGAATGAACAAAAAATAACTTTAATAACTTACTGAAGTCCCGGGAACCCAGAATCCAACAAAAGAAGTCAATGGTAACAAACCTTCATTTTCAGTAAGCAGGAACACAGAGACACAGGGAAACCACAGGAGGAGATGACCTGACAACTAAAAAAGGGAGAACACACAAATACACAAATAATTAATTAACTAATAAAACACAGGTAAACCAACTCAGACATTAAAACCAGAGGGAAATTAGACAAAGACAGGAAGTAAACTGAAACACGACACAAGAGGAGAGTTACAAAATAAAACAGGAAATAATTGAAGAAAACCCAAAACCATAATGTACACACACATTCTTCAACCAATTTGGTAGGTCTAACAAATTTTCACCTGACAAATGTTCACTGGGAATTCTCAGCAAGAAAGCAAATTAATATATTTCCCAAAATATTTAACTATTTGACAGCTTTGTGCCGTTCAGAAACCTTGTGTGGTTTGATTTTAGGATCTGAAGCCCGGTAACCTTGCTGTGAATGAGAACTGTGAATTAAAGGTAAGTTTGAAAAAAGACCGATTGTTCAGGTCAAGATGATTAATTTCAGGTTTACATATGAAAACACATTTTAATTTACATTTAAAGGTCCAGAGTGTAACATTTAGGAGGATCTATTGGCAGAAATGGAATATAATATTCATAGGTATGTTTTCATTAGTGTATAATCACCTGAATATAAGAATTGTTGTACAGATGCCACAGTTCACCTTCTGTGGAGTCTGCCATGTTGAACCACAATATTTCTACAGTAGCCCAGAACAGACAAACCAAACACTGGCTCTAAATTGGGTCTTTCACATTTTTTGCAAGTTTACTGGCCACCGTAGTTTCTCCTACACACTTTACAGCCCATTCTCATTCCCTGGTCATTAAATACTTTTTATTTCAGTTAATTGCAATCTGAAACTTTGCCACTAGATGCCACTAAATCCTTTAACTCGCCTCTTTATCCAACATGCAACTGAAATACAGCAAATGCCGCGGAAATTGAGAAATCAGTTAAGGCCAAAAGGGACTTTGGCTTCTGTGTGGTGAACCTAACTGTTACTATTCCCAGATCCTGGATTTTGGCCTGGCAAGACAGACGGAGAGTGAAATGACTGGTTATGTTGTCACGCGCTGGTACAGAGCACCAGAGATCATATTCAACTGGATGCACTACAGTCAGACAGGTAATAATATTCCCTTCTTTTAATACAAACAGTCGTTTTCAGTTTGTTAAGAAATATTGCAGGATATTGCTGTATGCTACGACAAAATATATTACATTTATATTATTAAAATTCTCTCTCTGTCCCCTTGCCTCGCAGTGGATGTCTGGTCAGCCGCCTGTATCCTGGCCGAGATGATTACTGGCCAGGTGCTTTTCCCCGGACACGACAGTATCCTCATAAATTCAGCTCACTGTGTCGTAATAAAGCTGTATATGCTCTGTTACAGCAGCCAGAAACTCATAGTGTTCCTGGCATTTTAATGTTTTAAAGGATACAGAAACCTGTGGCGCAGCCTTGTAAGGACATTTTATTGAAATCATCTATCCTTACTGTCTCAAAAAAGGTATTGAGTGTTACACAAATGACTGAATCCAAGCCAGTATGAGAAGCAGCTGCTATGTCATGCGTGGAATGTAAGACAGAAATGCAACCTACTGTATGTGTTCAATGCATGTCGCTCTGACAGCAGATCTATACGGTGTACGCTGTGTTTAATGAGGCTTCCTTGACCAGCCTGTTCAGGTATCGATCAGCTGAAGAAGATCCTCCGTCTGACAGGAACACCAGACTCCTCCCTGGTTCAGAGGATGCAGAGTAAAGATGTAAGTTCTGTTCAGTCGACATGCTGCTTTCATACTTGGTATATAAAGGTTATATAGAGTAGACTTATTTGTCACTGGATGTCACATAAGAGCACCAGCATCTCAGACTAAAACAGTGGGACAGAAATAAAATGAAACTCACCTGAACCGCCTTTGTTAATCTTTCCAACAATCACCAACACTGTTTTGGTTGAAATAAACCTTTAATTCATAGAGTTGGGTGCAAAAATATTTGTGAAAAGGGCTGCAATGGCTGCATCATAGGCTAACATTAATCCTTGGGGACCAATGGTCCGTCAAAGTATGTCCACTGTAAGTGCTCGTTTTTGTGACTGACAGGCTCAGATTGTGTCTGACAACATTATAGAACATGGCTAACACAGCCATGCTACGTATTTTCTAAATCTCATATAATAAACGCAGTGTGTATTTCCAAATGGAACATTAGACATTTTAGAAATTTTGCCACGTTCTTTTCTGTATTTCAACTCATGCTTTGGAATTGAATGTAACCACCCATAACTGTTTTCCAGGCGCAATCATATGTGCAAGGTCTTCCACCACAAAAGAAGAAAAACTTCAAGGAAGTGTTTCCGTCCATGGATGAAAATGGTGCGCTGAACCGCCTCTACTTGTTTACTTCACACTGAAATGCATTACATATGTTTTAATGGAAAAGGTTTACCTCATCTCTTCGTAAATGAGGTGGTGTGCCCACCACCTCATTTTGCACTGCTATAAATCTATAGCAAATCTAATGATCCTCCACAGAGATATAACTGGAGGTTTTGAGTGAGAATGCCAGAGACTTCAGTGCAAGTTGAGAAAAAAATTGAAAATGGATTTTCTGTGTTGATGCTTCTAGCTGTAGACCTTCTGGAGGGGATGTTACTGCTGGACCCAGAGACAAGGCTAACGGCTAAGCAGGGACTGTCGCACCCTTTCCTGGCCGAATATCACGACACGGAGAGCGAGCCAGACTCCGAGCCCTACGATGACTCATTCGAGAGCCTGGAGCTTGCCGTTGGCGAGTGGAAGAGTAAGTATGGCTGTGGGTTGTGAGTCTTACAATGCACGTATACAAATAGAATATCTTAAATCTCAAGTCGTCCAGTATATCAAAAGTGATCAGTGGTTGGTGTGAAAGTGTCAGGATTGACTCTGAGCCACTGTTTTTATCCTCTCAGGCCTCATCCACATGGAGATCATGACCTTCGACCCTGACAACCCCAGTAAGACAGCCATGTAGGAGGCTGTGATGTGCGGTGTTTGTTATAATACATACACATACTGCAAAGGTCAACAACAACGTGGAGCTCAGAGAAAAGACACAAAACACATGAAAATGTCTCGAATGTTTTTTTTGGTGCGTCTGATATGGATTGCAATAGAAATGCATTTTACTAGAGGGCAGGTTTACTTTGTGTGGCCTGTAGAGGACAATAGGAAAAAGAGAGACTAAGACATTATGCCAGCAGTAATGTTTGTATTTAGTAATATTTAGACACCACTTTGAACAGAAATCAGAGGCCTGTACCTCCAACTTTGTCAAAAACAATGAACCTATATGAATCTATAAAAACGCTGTCTTCTCATTTCAAAAAGTACAAAATGATAAGAAAACCTTTACTCAAGGTCTATTTACTACTTCTTTTCTGAGCCTTCTCAACTCACTCGTTCTGTGAAATGTTAGATGTTCGATCCATCCAGTGATGAAGGCAGTGAGACAATGTTGTGAAAACAGGTGGACCTTGACTTTAAGATTATGTCGTAAAACGTCTATTCCCACTGTCAGTGATAAACTTCTACAAAATATTTATTTTATTGACTACTGCAAAGTAGATGGTAAAACAAATGTGTGAAAATATCCAGTGGAAAATGATGAAATAATTCCAGTACGTGGTAGGATGATAACCCTGCCTTATAATACAATATCCTTAGTTACATTTTATTTTACTTTACAAGGACAGTTATTGTATATGTCTCATTTTGTATTGTATGTATTCATAATATGTAAAGGGTATTTGGTGCAATTTCACTTGGAAAGATGTGGGCATTTATTTTTGATCATTATTTTTACTGTTGAACCCACTCAAGTGTTCTTAAATAAAAACAGTGTTCAAAAAATGACACCCTGTTAAAGTAATGTGTGAATGTACTCACATGGATACTGGCAACGGTCATACAATCATTGATCACTAGAGGGCAGCATTATATCATAGCAAAGAACCTTGGAGGCGGAAGGAGATGGGTTTATAGTGGAAACAGTATGTATGCATTTTAAACAATGACACTAGGATTAGTGCTTAGTCAGAAATTAACTTGATGTTTCTCCCTAAATTTAGCAACATTTTCAACATATTAGATACATTACTTGTTATTTGCTTTTCAGCTGGGTTTGTAGCAACTAAGCCAGTGCCTGGCCTTCACATCGGTTCACTCATTTACTGTGACGCCTTTGGGCCTCAAAGGCCTTTGCAATTGAATGTTGTACACAGACATCCAGGGTTCTGCTCTAGCGCCACCATGAGGTTGACATAAGTGGTTCTGAAATGACAGATTGAACTTTGGCTCAACTTCCCCTCAGGATGAACCGTAATATCTTGGCTGACTCTGCGTCCAGGACCATCGCTGTATGACCAAATACCATACTAATCAGCCTCAGCTCTTCTTTGTGTTAATTAGCTATTATTAGCATTCAAACACGCTAAGCTAAGATGAGAACGACGATAATCATACCTCCTAAACCTTAATGGTCACTGTGAGCATGTTAGCACGCTGACATTAGAATTGGGCTCAGAGCTCCACTGTGGCTTTGTAGCCTCCCAGGATGCATTATGCCACCATCATCTGGGTGGAGGAGGTAATGTCTTATCTTAAACTGTACAGCTTAAATACACCGCCCAGAAATATGATACAGTCTGCCAACCATTTCTGTCTTATTGATTGAATTTACCTTCCATTAATAAAATGTTTTGTTCCACACTTTCATGTATTGCACAATGAATCTCAGTTTAATTTATTTAATTTTACGTTCATATTATTTTACTAGAAATACTATGTAGAGAGTGTCTTAAAGATCCCCTCCAAACATGTTTTCATACATGAAAAGTCCTCTGCTTTGAATAGAAATTCTAAAAGAAACTCTTAAAATTACATCAACTACTACTCTTTCCCCCTCGTTGAAAATATGTGTTGTTTCAAAAGCTACTGGTTATTTTGACTCTTTGCCAATGTCCACTGTAAAGTGCACTATTTGCCACACTGGGATCAAAACCTGACAGCTAGCAGCAGTAACTCAGGGGGCGGGGCTTAGTAAACTTTGTTAAAAGAAATTGTTTAATTGTTCAAAAGTTACAGTACACCATTAATCAATCAATAAGAAAAGACACAACAGCCAAAATGAATATGAAATCAGATTTATTCCAGACTTTTTGGTGTTACAAATTCACAATAAATCTGGTTGTCCCAGTCAGCCTTATCCATGTTTCTTTATTATTCAGAGCGGAAATGGAAGTAAAGCAGGATGAGAACACCATTTATTTACTGGAGAGCTCATTTTCTCTAATGAAAAAGAAAAAGAGGATCCCAAAAATGAAATATGAAAAGTGTTATATGTGGCTGCTTTTGATGATGTTAAAATTCACAACAAGATGACAGATGTGAGACAACAGAAGAGACTGATCTGAAGGATGAGCTGCCTGCCATGTATGCTTTATAAGACTAGCTAAAACATCCGGACCTCCTTCTGTGCAAATCTAACAACTGCTGTTGACTTTTTGTGTGTGATGACTGTTGGTTTGTAAGGATTCTGTCATGACACTACAAGTATCCTCTTGTCTGCATGACAGCACACCCAGCAACCAAAAGACAGCCAGGCTGACTGATTAAGGGAAGAGAGGACTGACTCATGTCTCTGCTGCTCTTTGTTTATGGTCTAATAATCTCTCTGCCTCTACTTGTGTTTTGATGTAATCTCTGACTCTCTGTAAGGTATGTGGTGCCAAAGAGGGAAGAGCAACACAGCAGCCAACGTGCACTGTACCATTACATGCGAACATTTCTGAGGCTGCTGCGTCTGGAGGACAGGGGCAATAGGAGTATATGGAAGCTTTTAAGAGTGGTTGTCGGGGAGAGGGGGTGTGTCAAAAAGAGGAGAACAAAATGAAGGAAGAAGAAGGATGGAGAAAGATGACTACTGTTTTTAATAACGCCGGGAGCTGACTCTCATGCTGCTGCTGCTGCTGATGGCGCCGCCGCCGCCGCTGCCATAGCCCATGCTGCCGCCGCTGCCATAGCCCATTCCGCCGCCGCCGCCGCCGCCGCTCATACTCATACTCATTCCGCTACCATAGCCGCCGCCGCCGCCGCCGCCACCGCCCATGCCTCCGCCAAAGCCAAAGCCACCGCCGCCGCCGCCGCCGCCGCCTCCTGATCCTGGTAATGAGAATAAGACGTTTTAAATTTTAATTCCCTTATATGTTCTTTTTTATTTAAACTTCAACCAATTTATTTAAAATCAACCAAACAGATAGCTTAACTGAAGGTTTTCTCATTTACAGTTATATTTTCATGAATACAACTGGCTGAATGGTGACGATATATTTCGATACATACCGAAGCCGCTGCTTGAGCTCTGTATGTGGATGGTTGCAGATCCACCACCACTGCCAATTCTGCAGAGAGGTACATGAATGATTAATTTTAGCTGCTGATGTTGCTGCCTGCACAAAGTTCAGGCAGTGTTTCAGAAGATTAAAGGTCTTGTAGCCTGAAGTAGCTCTGTATTTACCTGGACTCCTCTCCTTCCAGCAGTTTCCTGTAGGTGGCGATCTCAATGTCCAGAGCCAGTTTGACGTTCATGAGCTCCTGGTACTCGCGGACCTGGCGGGCCATGTCCTGTTTGGCTCTCTGCAGAGCTTCTTCCAGATCCCTAATGCGGGCCTTGGCATCCTTCACTGCCAGCTCACCACGCTCCTCAGCCTCAGCGATCTGGGCCTCCAGGTTGCCACGCTGGGAGAAAATTAGGAAAAGGAAAGTTAGCAGAAGCTTCAGATGTGATAGTTCTCAGTCAAAATGCCTTCTGAATGTTCACCTTCTGCTTTTTTAAGTATTGAGCTGTAACTGTGACCTTACCTGTCCCTTGACTGCCTCAATCTCATTCTGGAGGCGGCTGATCATGCGGTTGAGCTCAGCTATCTCATTCTTGGTGTTGCGAAGTTCATCTCCAGCTTGGCCTGCAGTGCTCTGGATCTCCTGGAACTGAAGGAATAAGATTCAAAATAACAGATTCATTACAGATTGCACAAACCCTCCTGTCCATTTGTGTGTTTCGTATTAGAGTTGTTGGTGAGAATAATTTCTCTCTGTACCAACCTTCTGCTGGTACCACGACTCTGCATCTGCACGGTTGCGGTTGGCGATCTCCTCATACTGAGCCTTGACTTCTGCCACAATGGAGTCCATGTCCAGGTTGCGGCTGTTGTCCATCTCCACAATGACTGAGGTGTCCTTGATCTGTCCCTGCAGCTCACGCAGTTCCTGCACAAAACATATATGTCATTTTTTAAAATAAAATTGAAAGAGCTGGAGAGTAAAGGTGGTCCAATATCTACTTCTGTTTGTTATCTGTCCTGCCAGTGGCATTTATTGACCCCTTTAATGTGTTAATGTAACTGAAGAAGTGTTTCCCATTTGTTCTTACCGCCTCATAGACAGCTCTGAGGAAGTTAATCTCATCCTGAAGGGCGTCAACCTTGGCCTCCAGCTCAACCTTGTTCATGTATGCGCCATCTACATCCTGTAAGAAGAGAAGAAGGAAGTGTTCTGCATTGGTGATGGGTTAGAGGGAGAGCAATAATTAATTCCACTGTCGCTAATGACATGGTGGATTATAACCGCAGATCCACTCTCACCTTCTTGAGGAGCACAAACTCATTTTCCACACTAGCGCGCTTGTTGATTTCATCTTCATATCTGACACAAAGAGTAGAAAAATTAGCTGATGGAAAACGAGCATGGGCTTCAACAACTGTAGGTCAGCTGCTCCGTGCTTGGTTTCCTGTTTCCTGTGCTGGTGTGAACTCACTTGTTCTTGAAGTCCTCCACCAGTCCCTGCATGTTCCTCAGCTCTCCCTCCAGCTTGATCTTCTCATTGCCAAGCCCATCCAGCTGTCTGCGCAGGTTGGCGATGTAGGCCTCGAACATGCCGTCGATGTTGGAGCGGGTGGTGGTCTGGTCCTGCAGCAGGCTCCACTTGGTCTCCAGCATTTTGTTCTGCTGCTCCAGGAAGCGGACCTGAAAGGCAAAATCATTTGCCAAGTTTAGATCCACTGGTACTAGGGGAAAGGTATTACTATGAATATGAATACAAATCCACATTACTCAAATGATGTAACTCTGCATAAATAGAACGACTTAATATACTGGAATTATCCATATCTATAAGTTTGTGGGCTTTACTACTTTAAGCAGTCTACAAACAGTCTTCATGATTAGGCCTGCCCGCTCTGAGGTAACAAAGATGTTTGTCTTCTTTGTTTTACTTTCCTAGGATGAACCATCAAGCCACACCTGTGTGTGACTTTGCCACACAAAAAGCTCTTGCACCAATATTGGCAGCTGCTGTATTCAAATGCTCCTAGAGGGCAGGGATGTTCTCAACACAATCCAGTGCAGTCTCACTGCACAGTATGGTTGTATGGTATGGCCAAATGCTTGCTCATGGTGGGAATTGTTGGGTCTCTGTAAATAATGCTATAAGGAGTTCGGTCTAGACCTGCTCTATTTGAAAGGTCTCCTGAGATAACTTCTGTTATGAATTGCCGCTATACAAATAAAATTGAACTGAATTGAATTAAACTGTGCTGTACTCTAATGACATCATTGTTTGAGAGCATCTGACATGATCCCGAGAAACATGTTTCAAAGTTTGTTCCTAGGACACAGAGTACAGTGCCGTGCCATCTGCTGTTGAACCCTACAGAAGGTGGAGCTTGTTCCTCCATTTTGACTGTGCATATTAGCCTTTTTTCTCTCCTTTTTTTTTTAGGTGAGGCCAGTGCCACACCTCAGCCTTGTCCCTCCCCTTCCCTGACCACTCCCTCACTTCCAGGATGCATACTTTCACTGAGTGAACTTGCCTGGCTCAACCCTCAGTAATTAATGCTACTTGCCCAAAGCTATTAACTGTCACATTGACTGAGTACAGATGCTTCAAAGATATGCCATTTATGTAATTCTATTTCACAGAAATATCAACTTAAAATTCACAATACACACATAATTCTTCCTCTCCTTAAACCACTACTTGCAATAGTGTGAATGCATCATTGAACAATGTTTAATTTGAATCATCCAATCATTGGAAGTCGACCGTGAATGAACAGGATCAGATCACCAGTGTGCAATATACACACAATGCAGAAAAAGCTAAATGAGCATTTTCTCTTGCAGGGTGCCGTTAACCTGTTATTAATTTCTGCCTGGGACAAAAGGCCCCTCGTCCTCATTTCAAGGTCTTCGGTTATACATGAAGGCGTATATGGGTGAATTAAAAAAACCTGTCCTTAATCATACGGAATAAATGGCAATTCAGAAATGTTTGAAACATCCACTTGAACTGCAAGTATTGTACAATGCATTGCAAAGAGTTAAGATGGGGTCCACTTTCTGCAGCACCACTGGTAGCTTGAAGAGTCCTTGCTGCCATGGCAGTAGGTGATAACCTGATACTTTCCTCCCCTCATATTGAGAGCCACCAGTCACTGGATATGACCACTCTAATGTTTCCTGCCTCTCACTCTACACAGAGACAGTTGGCAAGTTGTCAATTACAACTTATGCAAAGAGAAGTTAAAGGAGTAATGGTCGGCTTTCAGTTTCAATGTAGAGGCTAGCTGACGTGAACACTGTTTGAGATGAGAGGTACCCTCGCTGCAGTTTCAGACGACTAACTAAATTATATTGATACTAATAATAGTGCACTTGGTAGTATTAGTTTTCAGAGTTATCTCTAGCTGCGCCCTGTGTGTGCACATCATTCAGGTTTGGATCAGTTGCTGTGTAATAATTAATGAGCTCAGGTGGCCTTTCAGAGGCAGTCTGTTGCAGCTCTTCACGCTTCTTGCACAAACCAATGATCTCCACTGTGTGCAGTGCATCTAAATCATCATCACTACTTCAGGGTTAACATATCAAAACTATATTTACTATAACAGTATAACAGTTCATTCTTATTAAATGGTGTGGGACAGTGTCTGTTTCAGTCACTGACAGAAAAAGGCTACTCACCTTGTCAATGAAGCTGGCGAAGCGGTTGTTTAAAGTCTTGATCTGCTCTTTCTCTTGGGTACGAACAGTCTGGATGGCGGGGTCGATCTCAAGGTTCAAGGGGGCCAGCAGGGTCTGGTTGACTTGGACGTTTGTGATAGGAGCCATTCCGCCACCAAGACCACCGCCGAAACCACCACCAGCACCTCCACCGAAACCACCACCGAAACCACCACCGAAACCACCACCACCACCAGCACCTCCACCGAAACCACCACCGAAACCACCACCACCACCACCACCACCTCCACCGAAGCCATAACCACCACCACCACCTGACCTAAGCATTGAGCCGCCTCCAAAACTGGATGACACTGAGTATGCTGGCTTTGATGATATAACGGCCGATCTTGAGGAAAATTGTCTTCCTCCTCCTCCTCCTCCACTCCTGATACCACCGCTGAAACTACCACCACTGAAGCTGCCACCTCCACCACCGCCGCTGCTTCCAAAGCTGGACCTAACCGTTTTCACGGTCATACTAGATCTGGACGACGACATGGCTTGTTTCGTTTCCTCTGAAAGGAAAGGATTAACAGAGAAAAGGGGGAGCAGAGAGAGAGAGAGGTTTGGAAGAGCACACTAAGAGGAGAGTCAAGTCCCTCTAAGTGTCTTCTTTCTGTCCGTGATGGATTTTTATCTGTTTCCAACTGTGGAGGAGGTCCCAGTGAGCTCCACCTCAACTGCACCTCCCACTCTACCCTCCTCCAATTACCTGGATCCTGGAAGGTGCACTTGCAGGCAGGCAGATTGGCTTGGAGCAGCTCAGTCTGTCAGACAGGTAGGACTGCTACCCCTGTAAAGTGATCGGGGCTTGACACACCCAGGTGCTCGCAGAGGAATGGCATCAGAGCCTGGGGTGAAAGGGGGAAAAGGACATGTTGGCAAAGACATTTTTACTTGATTAGCTGAGGGCTTTCTGGGAGGTGTGGGTGGTTGGAGGAATTGGAAGGTGGAGACAAGCCCTACGTACTCACCGATCCACTGTTTTCTGCTTTTCATCTTCTCGCAAGATAGATAAAATACGAATATTTAGAGGTACTGCTAGCATTTAAATAGGTGAAATATCACTAGGATTTGCAAAACACATTCTGACCAGCTGTTTTTAAAGTTGATCTTACATATGAATGTATGCATGTTAGTACATTGTATGTATGCATTTGTGCATGAAGACTTTCACGTTTACATTGAATTAACAACTGCTCAAATTCTGGTAGGACTTTGCCACACAGTGACCATTTAAAGACCATCTATGTTCTCTGATCCTTATTTAGGATTATATAGGGCGATGCACAAACACTGCATACTTGTTTTTATCTCCAGTTTTCAATCCGTTTTGTGATTCTGCAATCACAGTATTCAACAAAATAAAACAGCCAACTACAATAAAACATATAATCATGAGTTAAATTTAATAAGATTGATATCTGGGATTAAAAAAACACACACCACACTGTCAGGGGTGATGTAGATTAACAAGAACACTGTTTCTCCAGAGACATGTTGCTGTTTTATTTACATATGTCATATACCTTTTTACTATGAGCATTTCTACTGTATTGGGGTGGAGGCAGAAATCTCAGAGACAGATACATTAAAAGCTGCATGGCTAAACACAAGCAGGGATGAGTGAAAAAATATAATTTTTCATTTGGGTAAATTGACCCTTTGACCATACTGTAATGCAGGAAGGATAAATAGGTAAACACTCAGAAATGAGTCTGGAATTCCAGAGTTATTTATTTAATTCACCACCTTGTTGTTTATGTGTTCAGGCCTGCAGCTTGTAGGTGCTTGAGGGCACTGTACATACTATCTTTAATACTCACACCCCTCTATGCCCTTCAGTAGATCGCTAGGTTCAGTAAGTGTCACTACTTACATGTACTTACACGTTATGAATATTTACTGCACTATTTTAAATGTTTAAACTTTAAAAAGGTAATTTACACCTTGGATCTCTATTGCATTAAGTAAAAGAACATCATGCGTTACATGTAGATTTAAGATTTGTGCTGTCATAATTGCAACTGTTGATGCCTGTTGAAACACATCTCAACAGCTCTGGTTTAGGTGTTGGCCTCCCACTCTCTGTACGGTAGTAGCATCTAAATGAGCTGTAGGGCAAAACTGAGCCACACCTAAAAAAAATTGCCAGTGCTTCACTCTCACTTCTAATATTCTTTTGTCTAAGAACTACATACTGCAACGTACTATATGTTCAAGCATCTTTGCATTAGTTAAACATGTTTTGGGGGAAACAAAGCATTATAAAGTATATTCATATCTGCAAAGTGTTCACTTTTAACAGTTTCTAGGTTTATTTGCAGTAGTTTCCCTAAATATACATCAACTTAACCTTAATGTATGGTTAGGCAACTAAATCCATGTGATTTTGGTTTTTTACATTTTTACATTGTCACCATGTATTTATTGAGACCTGGTTGGCCTGGTAGGTGAACACCCAACTGGTCTCAGGCCACAGGGCAAAGCATTGACCTAGGGCACGACCAAACACAATCAGCAGCCATTACGTTCCACCATCACAGTGACGAGTGAGACAGTCGTGGCAGGCTGCACGTGTTGGTTGCTGCTCAGCACACTGAGACTTGGCAGGCCTGGTTTGTTTCAGGATTCAGGACTGATTGTGCAACACTACTACTACCACCACTACTTCACATGCATTAAATGCATGCATGCAATTGTGAAGCAGATAGCATGCTTTGCCATCAGTATTTAAATTTTTGGGGTGCATTCCAATTAAAATCCAGTCATGCTTTCAAACGTAAGGGGGGAGGGCAAGTAGAGGACGATGACGACCACATCTGGTGCAGATGAATGTACAGGGAATTGCAATACATTACCTCAAGTACAGTACTTAAGTACAAATTTACTTGAGTATTAAACTAATTTAACCCTTTATCGAGAGAGGAACAATATATGGTAACTTCCTTATGACAGTTTTTATTACACTTACACATTTTTCTTTGTTGATATACTGATATTATAATACACTGCACTGTTACTGTTTTCTTTCACAAATAACTCAAAGTGGGCTTGATCTTCATTTGCTTCTGGCTTATTTATTACATATTTTCATAGTATATTGATGTGGTATATTTCTTTTGCAGCTGCTGTCTGCTCAGTCCTTCTATGGGAAGAGGAGGCCTGCTGTGCCACAGACTGTTGTTGTGCCAGCCCACCTAGACATCATTGACTTTGATTTGCAGCCTAAAACTGAAACTTTTTAAAAATGCCAAAAAAGAAAAAATGTCTTCTTATATCCACCAATAACACTCCAGGGTTGAAAGTTTAAATTTCCAAGTATTTCAATGAGTGCCCTATAAAGGGTTAAACCATTTAAGTAATATGTTGTGCAAAAATGTTTTATAGTTCCAGATTTTATGATTTAAGATTTGCTGCTTTTCCTTTCAGTTATTTTACTTTATTTGTAATAATTGTCTTTGTGAAGTAATGATTTTATTTTAATGTCCAGTGTGTAACATTTAACATGATCTATTGGCAGAAATGCAATATAATATTACGTGAGCAACTACACCGCTAGAAGCCATTCAGTCTTACACACTGGTTCTCTAGATAAGATATAATATATATATAATAGTTTCTCCACCACTAACTATAAACTCCTCCTTCCAAACCACAAACCTCCAGTACAGCAGAAAGTTGAACTTTCTGCTAAAAATGGAAATAACTGATCTCATGGCTACCTCACATAAGTCTTAAACCACTGCCATGTTAATACTGTTCTCCTAGACTTCTGCTCTGTGACACTAAAAATGTATGTGTCCATAGCTTAACTGTAGAAGTGTGGTAATGTATAGAAAACTGTATAGAAAAAGATATAAAACATTTATGTGTCATTTCTACTGCTCCTCCTATGTGAGGAACAGCTCCCTACTGCAAAGACAATGAAAAGTGTAAAAAATGAGGGCCTCACCCTTTTACATTTTTAACCTTTTCATAAAAACTGGTCATAACAATAAATATCATTACTTTAAACCAAAAAGCTGTCCACCATTCCTTAAAGGCAGTGGCACCCACAAATCTGGTACAGGGTTGTATTTGATCTCACATGATATGACAGGTGACACTTCAGGCTTTCTAGTCAGTGCATGTAGTGGAATGTTCACAAGCTCCTTTTCTCTGTGAGAACCAACCTTGAGATGGGAGTTTACTCTACTGAAACTTGGCAAGAGGGACTGCTGAGAAAAGAAAGAGTAATTAAAGAGGCAGAGGAGTTGAAAGTAGTAATAGTAGCAATACTTGCTATTTTCTGGGGCCAATTAGAACAGCGTCGGTATTATATAATGTTGTAAGTTGATACTTTGCTGTGGATCGCGCTTGAGAGCAACCTCCAGCATTGTGCTGTGGTTTTTTTTTTTTGCTGTTTGTCTTGGCCAGGGCAAGGACTATTTAGTCATAGACTGTGTGCCACACCTTGGTGGTCAGGTCAGGTGAGTCAAGGGTGTATTACTCTAATAAGCCATTGGAAAAGTTGCCCTTGCATTGTTAATGTAAACCAAAGCTCATTTTACAGTACATGGTTGAATATCTTCAAGCAACGTCCTATTGACAAAACAGAAGCATGGGAGGTGCATAATGAGGGTCAACAATGATAAAACTCCACCTGTATGGAGAAGCATGATTACTCTAGTACAGAGAAGGTTTAAATCCTAAGGCAACAGGACACATGAATAATCTGCTGCTAAGAAGGGAGGCCTACTGGAGTGACATGAATGTTGCATTTTATCTTGTAGTAAAATGTTCTATGTCTAAATCATGTGCAGTTTAAACCTTGATTGCAATATGATTATTCTTTTTGCGTTTTCATGTGCATTTAACATTTTAACAAAACCTATATAAACTATGTGTGGACTGCCATCTTAACTGAAGTATTTATAATATATATATATATATATAAAATATTATAAATAAATAATAAATGATACCATATTGTGAAGCCGTCTGTTTTACGTTAAGTCATTTCTGTCATTACAGATCCATGCACAGAGGTGCATAGCTAAGAATCACAGAGCAGATATTCAAACAGCCCTTCAACCTCATACAAGTCCAATATTGTGGAAAACAACACATTCAATGCTGCAGCCCAAGCAAGTGTCAGACAAAGCAGCTTCAGACCAAAAATATGCAAGAACTTTTTTTTGATGGTGTGAGTCCATATATCTATCTAATTTATGACATATATGTTGTATTCTTTATTGTTCTGACAAATCAAACCCATAATGATTATTTTCATTGTTACAAGCTAGCTTGCTTGTTACAATGGAGCTAGTCAGTCCACTAACATTTAGAAAGTCTCAAAGAGCCACACAATTAAGTTAGCGACTCAGCCACGCCCAGCTGGTCGAAGGTTGTAGTGTGCATGCTCTATAGGCTGCACAATGCAGAAGATCCAGGTAATTTTATACCTTAAAGTCTTTTTTTGCTTCATGCGCCACTGAGCAATTTCATAGGAATGAACACAGCCACATCTCTAACTCTGTATTCTCCCTTAATACATCCATGGTAAATACAAGCTGACATTAGCTTCAAACCATGCAATAAATAGATGCTCTAAGCGAAAAGTGTGCAATTGTGTAAATGCA